TTATATTATATATATATATTATAACATAGGTAAAATAAAGTAACCCTGATTCACAATTACCATCATAATAAATGTACTTCCTTAATTTACCTTTTCTATACATCTGATTTATCTTTGTCTCTTACCCTGATTAACTTTTAACAAACCAGGTTGCCAAGTGTAAATCATCTGGTTTCATGTACTGTAAGTGCAGTGATTAAAAGCACGTGCCGCCTGTTCTTGCAGAATAACTTTAAATTAAGAAATTAAATGCACTTCTCCACCTGTCTCTGAGTAAAGCTGTAACACGTGGGACACACCCAGTACAAACCGCAGTCCTCCGCTGCAGCAGATTTTTCAATTACACGCCTCGCTCAATGGCATCTTAACGGAGGGAATACTGTTGCTTAAACTAGATATAGTTTACAGGTTCTATCCAATAATACAAACAGCATATTGATATCCCATCTATTACCATGAAACCCACAATATAAAACAGATAAAAGGACAGTAATGAAGACACTCAAGTATTCTCCATACAAATAATCGGACCAGAAGATCTGCTTTCTTTCTGACCGTCAGTTTGATGTAATAACTCCAATATTGAACATGCAATTCTAAAAAAATATATATTCTCCTGCTCCATCGACCCGAGTCTGCTTTCACACACGTTGAATAAAAGAAGCTTCATGGGGACATTACACACACACCACGTTTTGGTCCTTTGTTGGGGACCAGTTGTCTCTAGTTTGTTTCCTCTGGGACAAAAGAGGAAAGGTCATGTGTGTTATTCACACCATGATGTACCTGTCAATCTGCAACCCAGCTGCAAATGATAATTAAGTCTCAAGAACATATGTGGGTGTGAAGCAGAGTTTTCTTGTGAGTAATAATATTTGCATTGGAGTTGAGTGGTAGTGATGGTCAGTGGGACTAGAGGAAAGAAAGGAAGGAAAAGAAAAGGTAGTGGAAGTAGGACTTCACTATCTCTCTGCAAAGTTTGTTGAGATTCAAAGCAGCATTAAGTTCCAGTTAAAATCAGGCAAAGACGTGTGTGTGCTCTTGCCATTTAAGAAAAAAAAAAAATGAAATATCATGGACGGTGGAGTCAAAATGTAACCAACTCAACTGGCAGAAACATTTAAAAGATTACAGCAGGGAGTAAAAAATGAAAAATAACAGAGGTTGGAAAAAACAAACTTTAAAAGAGATTTATTTGTCTGGTTAAACAGGATTCTGGTTGTTTGAAGGTTTTCATTTTGAATTTATAAGTCTGAAGGTTTTAAAGCTGAAGCTTGAACTTAGATCTAGAATTCTAAAGTTTAAAAACAAAACACCTTATTTAAGGTTAACCTGGTGGCCCCAGTGCAGTTCATCTTTGTCTGTCCCTTTTTAGTTGGAATTACCTTCCAACATTTGTGTGCCTGCCGTTCCACTCATCAAAACCAAAAGAAAACCTATAATTAGGAGGGCCCATTAATAGCAAGGATGGAATTGATGTTATTCCATCTGAGAAACATGTCAGCGTTGTACTGCGAATGATCAGTTTGTCATCACATTTACATCATTTTGGTTTGGAAGTATAAAAGGTTATTACTATCAATGGGCGTTTCCAGGGAACTCTTTGAACTGGTGGGCTTTGCCACTGACCAGGTGCCCTCCAGCAGGCTCTTCCGCCCCCTGAGCTCTTAACCCAAACCCCTGTATCCAGCCTCCGGCAGCTCTGGAGGACATTTCAGTATGAGAGAACATGGTTGGCTCTACCCACGTTTCGTCATGCTTCAACTGTCTCTACTTTGACATTTAATAAAAACAGTATAAAAATTATGAATGACAGAAAATTAAAGCTATTTGGATACGGTTTTGTTTTTATGGAGAGGTGCAAATACATTAAAAAAGTTACAAAGTTATCCGATATATTCTTTAATAAGTGGACTTGTAAGTTAGTAATAAACAGCCATCTTAGTTGGGTAATTGCCACAAGTCTGGAGATAAAAAAATTCAACCTGAAATTACATTCTTTATATTGAAGCTCAGAGTGAGTTCAATTCAGAAAGACCTTGCTTTCAATCAAGAACATATGTGGGGTGTGGAGCAGAGTTTTCTTGTGAGTAATAATATTTGCATTTGGAGTTGAGTTGTAGTTGAAGGGTCAAGGTGGACTAGTGGGAAGGAAGGAAGGAAAGAAAGGTAGTGAAGTAGACTTCGGAGAATGTGGACAACAGCTACGACCAAGAAAAAATATGAGGAAGGAAATTCATTTCTTTATGATCTCATAACTTAATGATGACGAAGGGAAAGGGACTTGGCTTGGGAACCGGAGGGTCCGCCGTTCAGGTCCCACCAGACTACAAAATATGGAGTTGTGGGGACTGGTAGCTGGAGAGGTGGCCAGTTTCACCTTCTGTGTACTGCTGAAGTGCCGTTGAGCAAGGCAACCTAACCCCAAAACCTGCTCATGAGGCGCTGCTAACGTGGCAGGCCCATCACTCCACCATCTCTCCCGTGTGTGTGTAAGAAAAAAACTATTTCCCTGTAGGGAATCAATAAAGTATTTCTTCTTCATCGCCTTTTTCTTTTAAATGTCTGTTTCCTTTTGTCATTTACTGTAAGAGTGCAATGTACGTTTGAATAAAGTATGATATAAATAAACTTGACCTCCTTTCTTCTTCCTTCCTTGTCGCTATCCAGTTTTTGTTTTGGTTCTGACATCTCCCTTTAAAATATTCCGGTACTTTTTTTGTTTTGTTTTGTTTTTCGACAGCCAAGTTTTCTGTTGGAAGTCGTGGCTGAGTGGCTCCAAGTTGGCGTGGCCAGATGGAGTCACTGAAAATCCATAAAGAAATGTAAAATGACTTGAACTGTTCTGTTTATCTGTATCTAGAAGAGAGTTAATGAAGACATTTTGATTGGATTTTTTCTTTTGAGTCATAAACCAGTAGCAGGATGTGCCCACAAGTTTTGGATTAAAGCCACACAGAAAACCACAGCAAAAACATGCTACTTAACTGTGTTGCGCCTGGCAAATCCTTGCAAACATGAACACAATACCTGCATAAAATAACTTCACATTCAGTGGTACGACCTGCTGTCTGTTGCACCATCTCAATTCAGATGAAAGATTAAGTCCTCTTTATAAATCTCATAATGACGTTACATAAGATTCTTTGTAGTTTGATCATATCAGAACCTGTTATATTAGACAGATTATTATATTATATTAGATTAACACTTAGCTTCACCAGTGAGATTCTAGCAGAGACTAATCAGCAAAAGAGATGATTAAAACGATAAGAAAGAAGGAAATACATGTTCTGCTACAAAATTAATATTGAATTTCCTAAATTAATCACAGGATAAGTTTCCATTATTTAAATGAAACGGTTTGAAAAGGTTAAATCACTATGGTTGCAAGAAGACATTATTCCATTTTAAGGGTCGGATCTGATGTTTTCATCTGCCACAATTTGGAAATGCAAGTAGTGATACAGACAACTAAATGAACCCGATTTTCATGAGTTTTATTATGGATATTCCTACTCCCCAAGGGGTGATTCTGGTGCCCTGACTCTTTATCTAGATCTGATGAAAGGGCACACTTGTGGCTAACTCTGGTGCTACTGCCTGGCCAAATTTCCACCGTAGATAAGAAATACTATCACAACTATATTATATTTCAAAATATATATATATAATTTCTGGTTTTGGTGTCTTAACATAATAATGACTGGACAGCTACTGACGCAGAATACAGGCTCTCAGGCTTATATTTAGTACAGTACAGTCCAGTCCTAATCACTTGTGTTGGCGTAATTAATAATTACTCATTTAAATGATCCGGCTGTGTACCAGGAATCTAAATTGAATCACATTCTGGTACAGGATGTTTTTACTGACTTCCATTCACTTGATCTGCTCACCTGTAGGAGTGTCCACTGAGGGCGTGGCTTCACTGTTAAATAGACACACACAGGTAGCAGCCTCTCATATGCAATAACCATGGAGGAAGAGAGGAATATGCCCAAGTAAGTACACATATTTTTATGTTTCAGCAATATAAAATATTTTTCCTGGTATCAACAAAAACTGTTTATTTAATTAGAAATAATATTAAAGTAAAAAAATATTGGTAGGTCCTTTATTTTCTATATTTATTTTGTAATTTTACATATTTCTGTAGCTGCAGTTATTTACATTTTCACATGAATTAAACAAGGTAAATTAGTTACACATTCATTTAAGCAGAAAATGTAAATTTTCCTATTTACTAAGCAAACATAAGAAATTATTTATAATATATTATAATGTGGTTGTAAGCAGATTAAATGAAAAGTATTTTTTAACAGTTATTAATTATTATTTCAACTTTTTCAGTTAAGACATATATATTATATAATTACAACCATTCTGTATCATATTTTCATCTCTTTACCAGCATGCAGTTATGGATGCTTCACAGGTGGAGTGATCATAGATGGATATATCAATGGACTATTAAAAAATACCTTATATTAATAATGTTTATAAAATAGTCACTTGTGTGAATATTTTATTAATTTACTTATTAATTACCTTTTATTGAAAACATAACCACTAACCTAAATCTATCTATCTATCTATCTTTCACTGTATATTTATTATAGTTTTCCTTCCTACCTCGCTAGTTTTTTACCTACCTTCTTACTTCAGACTTTGACGTTTTGGTGTCTTTATTCAGGAGGCCGTGGGATACGTGCCAAGAGGTCCCGGTCATTGAAGATGAACAGACGCCATGGAAAATGATCAGACTCCTAAGGTTCATCTCACTGTGTATCGTCGCTGTGATTGTGTTTGGACTGGCACTATGTAGCAAGGTTTGATATTGTTATACTTTTTTAATACTTGTATGTATGTATAACTTGAATACTATACTATGAATGTGACTACAACCAAATACATTTTGGTTCATAACTGTTGTATTTCAGAGTATATAAATATATTATTGTGGTGTAATAAGTCAACTCAGAAGAAGTTAGACACCCAGTCATTGTCTATTGAATAAAGTTGGTTCTACATTGCCCTCATATTACAGTATCAACTAACTGATTACATTATAATGATCTTTATACTCCAGACTTCTTTCCTCCTCCTCATCACCTTGGCTAGCGAAGGCACAAAGACTCTCCCCGATGGCCAGAAACCTGTCGCTCTGCTCTGTATCAGCTGCTCTCTTATCGCTTCCAGCATGCTTCTACTCCTCAAGAGCATCTGGAAGGCGTGTTACAAAACATCAAAGCTACCAAGAAAAACAACTTTTGCCCTGGTAAGATAAGAATCAACATTTAGTCATTTTATCTTATCTTTACCTGATGCCAAAAACAGAGCTAGAAACTCTTTTCTTTACTGTGTTGTTGAATTTCCTTCTGCTTCTTTTTCAGGTTCTGTTCTTTGAGTTCATCCTGTGTCTCTGGGTGCACGCGATACTCACAGACAATCGCTAGCAATGCCACCCACTCCTGGCAACATCGTGACGAATGTGACAATACTGAAACGGTCGCTACCCCGTCTTCTCCTGCGCTCCTACCAGGTGGTCACTCCAGTGCACTCGGCCCAAAGAAAGGAACGCGCCTTCCTGGCGCCATCCGCCATATCAACATGCCTT